TAAAGTTCCATTGAAAATAATGGGATTTTGAAAAAGCCTTCCTTGAGCAGCTTTTTCTGCACAGCTCATCCTTCTGCCCCTTCTAAACACGTTCCAACCCTCAAAACCATGCCAGGACACCTCGTTTTTCTAACCCTAACCCTACCCTGGTGCACACCCCTAACCCTAATAGAGGGGTAAAGTTCCATTGAAAAGAATGGGATTTTGAAAAAGCCTTCCTGGAGCAGCTTTTTCTGCACAGCTCATCCTTTCTGCCCCTTCTAAACACGTTCCACCCCTCAAAACCGTGCCATGCTAATGAGTCGGGGCGCGTGACATCATCGCCTGGGGGCTCTACTCCTTTCCGAGCGTGCGCACGGCCCCCATGTGCGCTGTGATCCGATGCTCGGCTGCTGGGGCGGCTCGGCTTGCGTGCCGACGGAGAGGGCCCTGCGTGCCCGCAGTGACTCCCCTGCCATGCGTTGCCAGCGCCGCTGTAAGATGAGCTCTACTCTGCCGTAACCTTTGCCGTATTGCTGGACGGCGTGTCCTGGGCCTGCCGCGAGGGAAAGGGAAGGAAAGCAGCCCTCTCCCAGGCGGAGCAGCCGCCCGGCGCTGAACGGCCCAGGCGCGCCCGTCCGTAACGCTCCTCTCCTCACTGCTCCCTAATTTTCCACTTGGCACGTGGGTTTTTTGTCTTTGTTTTTTTGCCATTCTCCTACGCATAAGTCTGCTTTCCTCCTCCTGGAGGAGAGTTTCATGAAGGCCCAAGAGAGAGCGGAGGCATGGACTCCCACATCCTTGATGGCTGCTGAGGACAAAGGCGCCGGGGCGGGAGGGGGCCGGGGCCTCCGTCTGCACCATGCCAAGCAGGCCCGGCCCAGCGAGTCACGCAAGGCGCAGCTTCCATACAACCCACTCTTTCTCCAAAGACCCATTTGAACTTTAGAACAATAACCTTCTTAACTTTATAACAATCATGTGGAATTGATGACATGAGACGGTTTAACCCGGGCATTCCAGAGGCTGTCTGTCAAGATGACCTGGCATTGCGGGAGAGACAAAAAGCTTTGCAAGGAAAGAGTTCGTTTGTGTCGTTTGGCATTGCGCTTGAAAGCTCTGCGAAGCCCGGAGGCAGCGGTGCAGACCCCGCGGTCCTCTTGGAAGCTCTCCAGGTGTGTTGCGGGGGAGCACCGAGGCCGCGGGCCTTCTCGGGTGGCACCCACCCATGGGATGCAGTCCCCACGAGGTCATGGCCGGTGCCAGCTGAAGACTTCTTTCCTTCCAGCATTTTCGAGTTCAAGCTCCAGCTTATTTATGACTGCTTGATTGATTCCTCTGCTGTTTGCTGCTTCGCATTACACCGTATTGTATTCTTTTAGCTCTTTCATCTAGAATTTGCAATCCCCACAAAGAACATTAGCTATTAGGCCACTTAGAAATGTAAGAGTTAACCGCGCTCTTCCATGACTGACCACAAGAAGGGGGCAGCGGCGGCTTCAGACCAGAAGTGTGTGTATTGGCAAAAGCAATCAAGCCGTTGTCTAAACCAGAATTTCCTTGGCCCGGGAACACGCTGTTTCTCAGGCAGTGCCGTGTGCCCCAGGAATGCCATAGGCCAGGCGGCCTTCCCCTTGTGCTTTCGAGACGCCTTTGGCTGCAACGCCTGTCATCGGCCACGCTGGCTGGGAGTGATGGGTGTTGCAGTCCAACAAACCTGAGGACCACTGCTGAAGGAAGATGGCCATCAGTTCACGGGGGGCGCTTCCGAGCGAGCAGCGTCTCCTGCGCGATCAAGCGAAGGTGTTGTGCTGTCGTGCTGCTCTGCTTCCCTTTTTGGCCGGGGGCGGAGGCGGGAGGGGAAACGACGGGAAAGTGGTGGGAGGTCGGGACGGACACACGTGGAAGGTGGCGGCTGGACCGCCCTCGAAGCTCCATGAATGGGGCACGGTGATCGCAGGAGGACGGCGACTCCTCGGCAGGGTGCGTGCCCTCCGATTCCTTCCCGTTCCTGCGAACGTCTTGGGGGACCCTCCAAGCGACAGGGAGCAAAGGGTTTCTCCGCTGGTTCTGCCTGTGCGGTTGCCAGCGTGGGGCCCTCTCCCAGGCCGCAGCCTTGCACTCACGCAGACAGAGCACGTCCCGCAGCTGCTGGCCTCGCTCGCTCGCTCTCCCTCTGCCCCCGCGTGTTTCTCCCACCCGCCCTGGTGTCGCCTGCATCCCCCGCCCAAGCGCATGAAGCGGCAGCGAGCTGCACAGCCCCCGTGGCCCACGGCCCTCTTGCTGCTGCTGCACGCCCCCCCAAGAAGCTACACGTGCTGCTTCTAAGCCGCAGCAGCTTCAGGCACTTTGGATCACTGCCAAAATTGGGCAGGAAGCCCCTGGGTGGGATGCTGGCAGCTGGAAGAATGAAAACCTCGGCGGGAATTTCCAGGAGGCGGACAGAGGCCGCCAAAGCCCCAAAGTTGCCCACTCCTAGGCAATTAAAGAACTCCACCTCTGCCCCCTTCGTTACCTGCAAATGGAGGAACCCTTTCAAACATTAGGAAGTGATTTCTGGCTGCAGCTTGAAGCTCCTGTAATTTGCCACTGCGGGCTGAATAAAAACATTCGCACTCTTCCAGTAGAATCTGTTGTCATGTTCCCACCAAGCAAGTTTATTTCTGGGATTCCGCAAGAGGCAGCAATGTGAGAAGCCCACTAAATGTTACACTGGTATTTTAGAAAAACGGGGCGAGAGTGGCTGCTGCTGCCGCTTCGCTGAAATGCTGGCGGCATGCGCACGGGTGGCCACTCCGTGCGCTCTGGCACCCGAGGGCACCCCCTCCCCGGTGGGGAACGGGCTTGAGGACTGGTGCCATAAAACCGGTTTTACAGGCCGGCCCTGGTGCCCAGGGTGCCGGGCCGTGCTCATGCGCTCTTTCGCCATCTTTAAGTGGCTGTTCCACCCTCCTCGTAACCTTTGGGGAGCATCAAAATACCTCTGCCTTCCCAGAGGTCCGATAGGCTGAGTGAGTCTGGCTTGCTTCATCTTTTCCGGCCTGCGCGTGACCCTGGAGGCGCCTCTCGGTGGCACTCCTTCCAGAGAAGTGGGATGCACACGGGCCCCGGGGAGCGGCTCCCACCGAGACCAGGCAGCGAGCCACGCGAGTTCAGTGGTGCCTCTCCCGCCCGACAGCCGCGGCATGTGGGCCTGCCATTGCGAGAGTGCAGCTCGGGAGGAAGCCCACCGAATGCCCAGAACTGCCCCTGGAGGGCACGTGCTGATGTTTAACAGTCCTCTTTATCTCATTCATGGCCGGCGGGTGTCTTTCCATGCATGGCACAAAACTGGGAGGAAGGGGGAAACCCGGAAGGCTTCAGCCCCCGGCACGTCGCTGGTAGATCGGCAGCGCCTTGCAGTGTGTGTGTGAGAGGGCACCACCTGTGCGGCCCTGTGCTGTTTGCCGAGGGAAACGTTTCCCGCAGTAGCATGCTTTGACGTGTGGGAGGTGTGGTGTGTGTGCATGTTGGGGGTGTCTCTGGCTTGTCGCACAGACCACCTAGGCAGACCCACTGGCTTTGCTCAAGCTCGCACTGTACCTTGTGAGGAGGAAATAAAAGTGGTTTTGAATTTGTCCCCTAAGGTCGGTGTACAGTTCCTCTCCCCACATGGGAGGGACGCTGGTTTTCCTTCTTCCAGTTACAGTGGGAGGCAAATAAACTCTCGGCCTTTGAAGTCGAGACAGGGATGTGTCTGAACGTTTTGTGGTGACTCACTTGGCCCAGGCAGAGCGCTGATCGCTTGCAGCACACCTCCTGACCGGATTTAGACGTCAAAACAGCACATGATGCGGCCCTGGCTCCATCAGTCGGGCAGAGCCAGCGCCGAGTGGAAGTGGAAAATGAGAAAGGCTGTCGGAGGGCGATGGAAGGATAACCCGCAGCAGAGCAGCGGTTCCCAAACCCGCTCCTGGGCGCCCTCTCCCGGGCACAGAGAGGTCAGGCAGTGCGGACAGAAGGGCGCCAACCTTCCTGCAACACCCTCGGGGATCACAGAATTGCTCCAGTACTCAGAATTATAGAACACTTTCCACAGAAGTATCAAAGCGGGTAACACAAACTGTAATAACACAAAAGCAACAATCAACATGCTTCTAAAAACGATGCAATGCACATGAATCAGCAGTAACACTGCACACTCACTGGTGTGCGACAGTCCAGCGCCGGCTTCATCACGCTTCAGGGAAAGCCGCTGCGAAGGTGTGTGGCCGCGCTGGCGCACGCTCCTTGGCAGAGGCTTCACCCCACATGCCCTGCGACGAGCCTCGGTGGCTGCGGACACCAGGCAGGGGCACGAAGGGGGAGGGACTCGTAGGGCAAGGCTCCCCAGGATTTCGGGGCACGTCTGGGCATGTGAGAACTGCCGTGAGCACCACCACGAAGTGCCTGACGTGCCGGCAGCCGGTTCGGCCTTTGCCTGCTCCCTCCACGGACCTTGGGCTGTGCCTAACGCGGGGAAAGACTTCGTCTCTGTTGGGTCCTGCGGGGCCCCTCGCGTGATAACGCGCCGACCGAGCGCTCCTTTGAAAGGTATGGGGTGGTAACCGTGTGGCCGTTGCTTCTTCGCAGAAGGCGGTTATCGCAGAGATACTTTTGTATCGGGAGCGGCTTCAACATTCAGCGAGACACATGCTCCAGGTGTGCAAGTGTTGCCCGGCCCCTCGTCCTTCGGGGCTGGAAAGACCGGTCCCCTCGCCGGGGCGGGAGGTGGCGACCTCCCCGCATCCCGCGGGCTGTGCAGAGGGCCTGCGGGCGCCCCCTGCAGCGGCCAGCTGCCCTGGCTTTCCGGCCCGCCTTTGCTGCGGCCCGCGCGCAGTGGCCGGAGCACCGGCCCCGCACGCAGCGCGCGGGCACGCGCGGGCACCGGCAAGGCGCGCGGGCATCCTGGGAAGGGGGGGTCCGGGGCTGCCCGGGGGGCTTGGCTCGGTGCGGGCGGGCGGGGCGGCGGGCAAGCGCGGGCGCCCCCGCACCACGACGGGCAAACGCGAGCTCCGCGTCAGGGCCCCTCGGCGTCCACTCCCAGCGCCCCTCGGCCGTGGTCGCGCCCCGCCGGCCCCGCCCACGGGGAGGAGGCTCGGCGCCGCGGAGCATCTCGGGCAGTGTAGTTCCCCGGCGCCCGCTCCGGACCAGGGCGCCCCGCCCGCGGGCGAGCGTTGGCGTCACTTCCGGCGTGGTATGACGCGCAAGCGCGGGAAAGTTGCAGGCGGCGGCGGCGCGTCCCCGGCCATGCAGGCGGCGGCGGCGGCGGCGGAGGCCCGCGGGATGGCGCTGGAGGAGGCGGTCAACCGGTGGGCGCTGCTCTTCTACGCCCACCAGGCCCTGCAGGCGTTCCGGGCCGGGCGCAGCCACGACTTCCGCCAGCTGCGTGACGTCATCAACGGTGGGGCGGGCAAGCGGCGCCGGGCCGGTCGGTCGGTCGGTCGGCCGGCCGGCCGGCGGGGGCGGCGGGGGGGGCGGGGGGCGCCCTCGCGTCGCGCACGTGGGGATGCAGTCGCCCCATCACGCTGCACGGCAGTCGTCGGAACACGGTGGAAATCATGCGTGTTCCGGCGTGTCGGAATGTGTGTGCACGCACCCAGCTAGGCGTGCACGTTCGCATGCACATTCCTGCCCTCCGCGAGGAAGCCTGTTGGGCCGGAGCGGCGCCGCAGTCGCGCGTCGGCCTGCGTCCCCGGGAGCTGGGGGCGGCGCCCTGGGCGGTCCCGTTGCGGCGGTGCGAATAGGCAGGGCCGCCTTGCGCGCACCCGACTTTCTCCTTGCGTGTCCGCAGCGATGCTCGCCCGGCCCCTGGCGCTGGAGCAGCAGGTCCTCCTCCAGCTGCGGATCATCCAGCTCCTGTCCCGGATAGAGGAGGGTGAGTGCGGGGAGCCTGCCTTGCCTCGGCGTGTGCTCGTGCTCGTGCTCGGGCCCACTTGGCTCAGCGGCTTGTGTGATGCCTGCTGGGAGCGAAGCACACGCTTAAATTGGGGGTTTCTCCTGCTCTTGATGTGCGTGTGTCATGTGTAAACAGGTCGAAGGAAAGAGCACATCTGGAAACAAATCGGGTGTTGTGGGTAAATTTGTGCGCTTTGGCTGCAGGAGGTACAGAAATGTAACTTGATAGTGATAATATTATTGTTACGTTACAAAGTAGGTCAGAAGTAAACCCACAAGGGACCAGTCTTCCCATATCCTTCCCCCTGCCAACTTAAAGAGCTCAAGAGTATAATAAAGGGCAAAAATAAAATAGAATAAAATAAGATGATAAATACGAAACAAGATAACAGGGAAGCAGAGCGGGTGTGGAGCAAGAGCCCACCCAGACAATTGGAGGATTGTGTGCAAGGGGCATCTCCTGATAGCAATCTCCTGATTGCACTGAAAGCTCTCTTGGTACATGTTTCTTGGTCATGCACAGCACGTGTTTTTCACCTGTAGTTGAAGGATGGATCTGTGCTTCCACTCTGTGGAGTCCCTTTATGTGTATACAGAGGAGTTATGCTCTGGTGGTAAGAGGAATCATTTCTTTCAATCACAGATTGGACCATCGATACCAAGACTGAACAGACGCCTCTTGAATGTGCCCTTGTTCTCCTGGACAAGATGAAGAAAGAAGTGAACATAGATGTGAATGTAATAGAGGACATAAGAACAAAAATAAAGGAAGCTGTAAGGGTTAATACTTCTTCTGTAGACGTTAAGCATCCATCTCTGAGTCTTCAGCTTAGTTGAATAGGCCTGGATCTGGGAGCTGTTCTCTCCTCTTTCGCTCCAGGCTGTTATTGCCTCTGTGAAGAATAAGGAGTATGCGCTAGCCAGCAGAATCCTGAAGAAGCACATGTCGAAGGATCCCAACACCCAGGTGAGTGTGGGGCAGGCCGGAGTCCACCCCGCGATGCGCAGGAAGTGCGGCCACCGGGTTTCTTTCGCTAGGCTGGGAGCAGATGCAGCTCTTCAACTCTGCATTTCTGAGTCACTTGTCTTTTTACTATGTTTTAGCTGAGGTTTGTTTTCCATCTGGAATTTATTATTAGTGGCCTCGAGCACCATTTTTGGCAGAAAGGCAAGCTACAACGTAGCGCTGTCTATCTTTCGCCCACAGGCCCAGGAGATGTCCAGGACCCTTCCTCCCTGGGAGCATGTGCCCCTGCCCCTCTGGGCAGCCTGTGCCCAGGCCTTGTGACGGTGCCGGGGCTGCTCCTGTGGCGGCAGCATTGGGGGGGGGGGTGCTCTGTGGGCCGTTCACGCGCAAGCCTTTTTCCCCTAGAAAATGAGGTTGCTACTGCAGAGCATCATCCGGGAGAGGAACTTCCTGCACCCGACCATCTGGAACTTCTCCTACAAGGCCTTCCAGCAGGACGTCCTCCTCCTCCTCGAGAGCTTCCTGGATGATTCGGAGCCTCTCCTCCTAGTGGTGGGTGTTCGGCCTGAGCCGCCCCTGAGCCGGGGTGATGCGCGGGGACGGCAGAGCAGCGGAGCCCCCCTGGGCGGCCTGGCAGAGCTGCCTGGCTGGCGTGAAGGCCTGGTTTCCCCTCCGGATGGGAACTCCAGGGGCAGGTTTTCCTTTGCTGGAGGGATGGGTGCAGTGGCTGGACGGGCTTGCAGGAGCTGCTTCCCAAAACCCCTCCGAGCCTCGGCGTGAACCAGCTTGTGTGGCGCCTGCAGCTGGACAGGGGGGCTCTCCTGGGAAGGCCGCTTCCCCCAGGGCAGAAGAGCCCCCAGCTCAAAGATCACGTTTGGTGTACATAGTTAGAAATAAGAGGATCGGGTAGTGAAATGTGTGGGTCACGGCGTTCCTTCCTCTTATTTAAGATGGCAAAAAAGAACTTGGCTGAGAAGACGGAGGCCCGGCTCAGTCCTGCGGAGGCAGCAGCTGGCCAGGAGATGATGGTTACGGAGACCGTGGAAGAGCCGTCTCCTGTGGCGCTGGCGGCGGCCAGCGCTTGGTCCGTGGGAAGCTCCAGTGAGACCATGGTGGAGTCTGGGGTTGCAGAAGGAGCGGCCGATGAGCGGAGGGAAGACAGGCCGGCACCTTTGCAGGAGAGCAGCGAGGGCACGGAGGGGCCCGCACCCGCCGTTGGGGCGACCCAAAGCAAGGGTGTCGCGGCAAGCGCAGGAGCAGCCTCTGCGAGGGTGATCGCTTCGGAACCTGCCGGAGAAGCCAGCGGGGTGGCGGGACCTGCCGCGGTCACCGATCCCTCCACGTCGGCAGCCCCCAAGGACCTGGGCAGGTAAATCGCCTCCCGTGCCTTTGGAGGAAGGGACGTGACCGCGCCTCTGCCCGTGCAGAAGTCAAACAGGCACTCAATGGGCTGGGCATTTCCGTTACTTGTCCTTCGCTCTGGTTCGCTGTGCCGTCTTCCTGAGCACTAAGGATCTTCGCCATTCGGTTAACAAGAGACTGAGTGCATTTCTGTGGCCTGAGGGGTTCTCCTCTGGGTGGGGGACAGCACGTCTCCTCTTCCGCTCCACCCAGCCTGGTTGCTGCAGAAGGTGCACCGCGGGAGAGGTTCCCTTGGCAGCTCTCGTCCCGCTCCTGGGGGCCCTTGGAGGCAGAAGCAGCGTCTGCATGGGGGACTTGGCTGCGAAGGGACCGCCCCGTCGTGCCCTTGTGGAGCAGCCCCCGGGGGCTCTCTTCTTTTGCAGGGGCCTGCCCAAGAAGCCTGCCTCCTATGGGCTTTCTACTCTGAGGGAAGCATTCCGGGCTCTTTTTGAGGCCCCAGCCCCGGACGAAGCCTTCACAGAGCTTGACGAGACGGACTGGGTTTGCCCCGTGGCAAGTTCTGTCCCAGCAGGGCTTGGAGCGACGCACCAGAGGGAAGAGGAGAGCGAGGAGATGGAGCAGGATGAGGCCTCGAGTCCCCAGATGTCCTCGTGGGACAGCAGCGACGCCACGACCATTAGTGGTATGGTCAGAAGGGACCAGGCGGAAGGCTCCAGAGACCCATCCCTGGGACACGCTGCCTCCGAGATGCCGAGAGAGAGCTCGGGTGTCCGGCCGCCAAAGCCCAGGTCGCCTGCGCCGACTGCCGTTCCCCCATTTCTCAGGTATGGGGTGGCGGCGGCCTTGATGGCATTGGGTACAGGCTGACAGCAGGGGCTGGAAGATCCCCGTTCATATCTCCCCCGTGCCAGGAATGAAATGGGTCACCTCAGCCCAGGCTCTCTGACCGGGTGCCCTCAAGCATGTTGGATTTCAGCTCCCATTGCCCGCAACGCGTCTTGGCCATGCTTGCCGGGAAGGATGGGAGTTGTAGTTCACAAGACCCAGGGGGTGCCAGACTTGGGAAGGTCGGCGTCTGCAAAGCGGGGCTCCCACTGCCTGCCGTTCGCGGAAGGTGACAGTCGCCAGGAGACTCCATGTTGAGGGCCTCGAGTCCTCCGTCGCACGCAGCGCCCTTCTCCGAGGAGTCGGCGGGCGGATGCAGCCGGTCTCTTGCCCCGGCCGCTTCCCACAGCGTGCCCTGTGCTGCTGAGCTGGACTCCCTGGCCTGCAGCTCTGCCTCTCTCTGCTGCTTCCAGGCTCCCCCGCATGAGGCTGAATTCTCCATCGCACAACGAAGAGAAGGAGGTCTGGAGCGACGAGGAGGAGCTCTTCATAGACCTGAGTACGCACAGGCCGCTGGTCGGCGTGGCAGGAATTCCTCGCCCACACGTGGTCGAGATCCCGGGCAGATCTGCCCGAGGGCCGGGCTCCCGCTGCAGGGGAAACGCACGGCCCAGACCAGGAGCTTGCCGCTCCGGCTGTGCCTCGGAGCCAGGGATCGGTGGCAGCCGTCGCAAGGATCCAGCCAGGCCCCGCCACTCCTGCTGCCCAGGCAGTCGACGGGGCAGTAACGTAGCAGCCGAGGAGTCTCAGCCTCTCGGCCCTCCCGGGGAAGAGACGGGCCCCGCTCTCGAGCCATTACAGGGCCAGCCGGCCACCAGCCACGCGGTCAGGACTGGCCCAGGCCAGGGGCTGCGGGAGCCCGGCACAGGCCTGCCCGCGTTGCGCGGGTGCCGGGCACCCCCGGCTGCCCCACTGCTCCTCCCCTTGGCTTGAGGGTTCATGGCTCCCCGGCTTTTGTGCAGAACCACACTAGGAGCAGCTGGCAACTCTGTGAACCTGGGCGTGTGTGTGCCCCACGCTCCCCCAGCACGGGGACAGCGTGTTACGCTCCTGAGGGGTCGGGCAGGGCGATGTCCCCGCTGTCGTCTTCTGCGGGTTTTCCGAGGGCTGCCACTACGGATCCAGGGTGAGCGAAGTTCAGGGCTTCCTAAGTAGTCGCATCTGCCCCTGCTGCAAGTCGCCGCTTGGCCAGTCGGGGCCTGTATCGCTCTTCTGGACGGACGAGCCTGTAACCGCATTTGTGCCCCCAGCATTCACAAAGGATGAGGCTGCTAACGGATTGTTTTTCAGGGTCGGAGGGGAACAGCAGCATGGACACGTCCACCAGCGGCACTAAGCGGAAGGTAATGCAGCGCCGGCCGGCGGCACACGGGGGAAGGGCCCTGCGGCCGCCCCAGGCCTGCTCACGGGGCTCCGGCCTTGTCTTTTGGCAGAGGTGGACAGTAGAGGAGTCTGGCTGGATCACAGCAGGTGTCAGGAAATTCGGGGAAGGCAACTGGAAAGCCATTTTCCAATCGTACCCGTTCAAGGATCGCACCCCCGTGATGATCAAGGATCGCTGGCGGACCATGAAGAAACTGGGGTTTGATTGAGCTCAGGAAGGCAGTGGGGGGCTGATGCGACCGCCCCAGGCCACGCCTGCCGCCACCAGGCCGGGGCTCCCCCGGTGGGCTCGGTTGGGCCAGCGCATGCCGGGGCTGAAGACTCGGAAGCTTCTCGGCTGGCTTTGTGGGAGGCCTCCCTCCTCCCCGGAAGGCCCTCATCAAGAAGACACCGCAGGCGGCTCGCCCACCGGGTCCCCGCCGTGCTCCAGGGCAGGCGGGCATGTTGCTCGTTTTTCTCCAGTTCCGTGTGAAGAGCACCGTTGCTCTCACCACCGTGTTTCCTGTTATTTGCAGATGGAGCTTCCCCGGTGCCTGAAGTTGGTGCCAAAGTTCCGGTGGGGCCTCGGAGGGAGGTCCAGAGCGTGCGGGGCTTTCCTGCTGCCTTGAGCGTGGAAGGAGCCGAGGCCTCCCATCATGTCTCACGGCCTCGGCACACAATCGAGGCTTCAATCAAGGGATATTGTCAATTGTTGAGAATCTTTTATCTAACTCAGCAGCACGGGAGGCGAAGATGACACCTTTGTGGTTCTCTGTTCAGCACTCCTTTGGGCCACAGAGAGACCGGCCAAAATGTTTGTATACGTTGCAAAATAAAGCAGTTTGTTACAGTTGCTCGCTTGGCCTCTGTCTGCGAGGTGCTGCTCCCGAGGGGCAGAGATGTGTGCGCGGCTGCTGTGGGGCACCCCACTTGCAGCGCATGGCCCCGGGACGGACAGAAATGCGGTTGGCACAGCTGGTATCTGTGGAGCAGTGGTTACATAGCTTCCAGATAAGGTGTTGGGGTTGTGTTGAACGCTGAAAGGCACAACAGCTACGCTGCTTTTTGGCAGAGACTGAGGGTTTTGTGAAATAGATAATTTATTTGAACGGTTGAATTCAACATAAATGTTCTCCACCTGGTAGTTTTCTCACAACAACAAAAATAGCATTGTTAACAAATTCTACACATGCAGAATTTTCTGCGCACTCTGGAAATGGGGGGGGGTATTCAGGTATGTTTCTGTGCCTTCCCATTTGACGCCCCCACCCCCACCCCCCGTGGCTTTGGCCTTGTGCCTGGTCCCATTTTGCTCCACTTCCAGCTGTATCTGAAAATGACCGTGCCAGTTCTGTGGGTGTGGGCTGGTAAAACGTGTTGGCAGTTGCAGCTGCACGGAGAATTTCTCCTTGGCTGGTTGACTGGAGACGGCGTGGCGAGCTCCGTGCGGGGTGGACGGAGCCGGGCGACCTCCCCGTCTCGCTGCCTGAGGTTTTCTTGTCTGTGCCAACCGTGTCGCCTGCCAGTGGGGAGCGGGTTGTGTCTGCTGTGCCTCCGTGTCCCCACAAGCGGCTTCCAAGCGCCGCGTGTGTGCGGTGCACTAGCAGGCCTGATCACGTGGGCCCCCGTCTTATCACACGGTGCTGGGAAAGCGGCCTTCTGGAAGGAGGCATGGGCTGTCCTTGGAGGCGTGCAGGACGCCTGGTGCCGAGGGGAAGCGGGGGAGCGAGCGGCGCTGCAGTGGGCGGAACAGGAGGCGGCCGTTCCAGCAGCACGGAGGGGACGCCAACGAAACCCCAAAGCTCTCGTGTTGCGCGGGCACATCGGTGCGGGCTGGGCACTTGCGTTCAGATGGACACAGTGCAAAGGGAAGCGCTGAGCATTCACGCTCCTGTGGAAATCGGAGGGGGGCCAGGGCTAGGCCAGGTTGTGACAAGGGGGCCGCCTGCCCCCCCCCCCCCGGCCTGGGAGCGATCTCTGCCTGCTGCATCCTGCTCTTCCTCCAGGGAGCCCGAGGTGGTGCACGTGCCCTGCTTTATCCTAACCACAACCCTGTGAGGTAGCCTAGGCTGAGACCGGCTGGAGCTACCTAGGGCGCTCGAGGGCCAAGTGAGGACCACGACCCAGGTCTCCAAGGTCCAATCGTCCAGCCTGGTCCTGACTTGGGCCTCGCACTGGACTTTTGCACGTTCTGGGTAGCGGCCTGCTGCTGCGCCAGGTGGCTCGGCCTCCTCCGGTCTCCTTGGCAGGGAGGCGCTGCGGTGCCGCTCTGAAGGGCTGCTGCAAGAGCGAGTTCGAGTCTGACCCAGTGGCCTTAGGCCTGTCCCTTCCAGTCCAGCTGAACGAGCAGGGTTGTTGGGGGGCGAAAGGGAGGGGGCACCATGCCGGCCACCGCGAGGCCCCGGCAGAAAAGCAGGGAGGCAAGAGATCAAAATTTCCCAGGAAAGCGGGGCGAGGTCTCCTGCTACGCGCCTGGTGCCCTGCGCGGGCTGACGAAGTAGCCGGGGGCCGAGGGGGGGGGGGGAGGCCTCCCGTCTCAGCAAGCGCAGCCTCTCGGAGCGTCCTCACGGGCTTGAGGAACTGGACGTGATCCCTCGGGAAGCAGAACAAACCCGGGCGAGAACAGGGCAGTTAATGATTAGCCTCCATGCCAGCCAGGGCCCGGCCCTCGGCTCCAGCCCTGCCGCCGGCATTCTCCCCAGCCGGCAGCATGATCCTGCTGCTCCCTCTGGCTGCGGTGCTGGGCTCCCTGGGGGGGCCGGCGCTTGCCGGGGGGCCCCAGCCTGAGCTGCCGGGGGGCTCCGCGGGCGCGTCTCCCCTTGGCAAGGCGGCTCAGCACAACTTCGCCATCGTCATCCCAGCTGGAGGCATCGAATGTTTCTGGCAGCACGCGTACCCGCAGGGGCACTTCTACTTTGGCTACGAGGTGGGTGCCGTGGCACATGGGGCAGGAGGAGGGTCCCCTGGGCAGCCCCAGGCGAGCAGTGGAACCAGGCATGCCGGAAAGGGGGGGGTGTCTGCAGCTCCCCCTCAGCCTGGAAGCTTCAGGGCGATTAGGGGGCAGTCGCCGACTCACACTTGCCTACCTCACAGGGTTGTTGTGAAGATAGATTGACTAGCACTACCCTTAGGGAGGCTGGTGCCTCCTGTTTGTCCCCTTTTGCTTGGGATCCGCACCTCGAGGGTGAACGAGCAAGCTGGACAGCTTTGCGGCGATTCAAGAATCTCGTCCACTGTTGGCACCTGGGAGCAGCTGCACGGACCATCGTTGGGTCTCGGCAAAATGTGCTTCTCCTGGGCTCCGTTTGGACAAAGAACCAGGCACTTTGCTTCCCAGATGGAAAATTAAGCTAAGCTCAGTGCAGTTAACACAAGAAGCGGTAAAAAGCTTCTTAAAATTAAGCTGCGGTGCTTGGAGGTTGAGAGAAAACGGGGCCGTGGGGCCTACGGCAGCTGCCGAGGGGCTCAGCCGGCGCTTCTCTTCGGGGAGGCGGTGCAGCTCGACCGCCATCGGCAGCCCCATGGGAGGCATCGCGTGCTTCTGGCCACGCATGTCGAAAGCGGCACGTCTGCCTCACCCACAAGGTGAGCCCTGGTGTGCGGAGGGGCCTTTTCCTCGCGAAACAAGCCAGGTCTTGAGGTTCCATGAATTACAGGGCGGTGGCAGGTGTTTCCACACAGGTGTGCCGTTTCAGCCCTCCTCTCCTGGCAGCCACGCTCCTTGCCAGCGCAAGGACTTTGCGGTCCCTGGGCAAGGCTGCTTATCTGGGGAGCCGGGTGCCAGGGAGGCAGCCTTCTCTCTCCAGGTGAGGCAGCCTGTTCTGCCTTCCAGGCATGTGTCTCCTGACTGTTGCCTGAAGGTGGGGTGCCTGGGCGTGAGAGCCCAGGGGCGGCACCTCCACCGCCACAGTGGACGCCCACGTGTGCCTTGCGATTTCAGGTGCAGTGGACTTCAGGGATCAGCCACGACAGACACGTCCTGGCTACCGCCAACGACCCCAGCGGCACGCATCTCGGCACCTCCCAGGACACCCGGGGGCAGATCAACTTCCAGGCCACGGAGACGGGTACCTTGTCCTCTGGCTGTGCTGCCCCATCTCTGCAGGGCTTTCTTGGCCCCCAGCTGCAGTTGCGGCAAAATAGGGAATCCCAGGCGTGCGGCCTGCGGTTACCCTGCCACAGGCTCTCCTTCCACAAACACAGCTTCGGCCCCTTATGAAGCGCTGGGCTCGAAAGTGGTGGAAAATACCCATTTTGGGTCTTACCTTCCCCAAAGTGGTAAAGATCGCAATCCGATTAAGGAAAAAGGAAACATGACCGTGCTCTCACAGCCAGATCGAGGCTTCCTCACAGCCATGGCTCAAGTTGGTCATGACTAAAACCCCACTGATTTAACTGGGCTGACCTTATGTACGGATCAGGCCAGTATCACCAAAGGAACTGAGAACTCCCTACACGTTCTGTATCTCACCCGTAATCTCCCTCACACCGGCAGCTCTTGAATCTCTTTGCCTTTTTGTGCTTCAGGGATAAAGATCTGCTGAAGAAAAACAGGTTCTTGTTCCTGACAAGATGCTTGCAAGAAATCAGGTGCCAGAGCCGAGCTCCCAAGGGCAAGAGGTTTCAAATGGGGACAGGCCGTGAGCGGTGTGCCGGACGTTGCCTGAAATGACTGCCCCTCACCACTGGGCAGTCTGACTGGGGCCGCGGTGCAGCGGCATCCGGCAAGCCACATCTGCCTGCCCCCGACTGAAACGCACCCAGAGTCCTGCGATGGGGGCCCCAACGCGCCTCCTCCACGGCCGTCCTCACAGCACTCTTCGCTCATCTCCCTCCGGCCTTCCCATCCGAGGACCCTCCAGACCCGAGGACACGCTGGCTTCAAGCACATCCGGACGGCACCGCCAGGGAGGGCTGTCCTCCACCAACCGGGCCCAGCGGTGGCGGCAAGCACAAGCCTCTCTGGCCCAGTGCAATCCTGGCTCTTTCTTGCAGGCTTCTACCAGCTGTGCCTGAGCAACCGCTACAACCACTTTGGATCTGTGCAGGTTCGCCTCAACCTGGGAGTCTTCTACGGAGACTTCAACCTGAAGGGCCTGGAAGAACCTGAGAGGAAGAAACTCAACGACACGCTGGATGCCATTCAGGTAACCGTGGTCGGAGAACGAGCGTCTCCCGCGGTTCGGCTAGCGCTAGCTGGTAGTGGGAGGCAGCGGTGTGGAAGTTACGGGGGAGCAGGGATGCAGTGAGGTTTTGCCAAGCCCGTCACCTGGTCCTGAAGGTTAGGAATGGGGACAGCAATGCCTGGTCCCCAGCTCCGAAGGAGGGAGCAAAACGCAAGGGCCGCTCTGGGTTAATGGCAGAGCCTCGCATCCATCCAAGACCCCCGTGGCCAGGTGCCGAGAGGCGAGACTCACGTGCTGCTCCCCCCCCCGGTCTGCACTAGGACAGCACCACCAGGCTGCTGGTCTCCGTCTTCCACATGTGGCGCTACTACAACTTTGCTCGGATGAGAAATGCCGCCGATTTCTTCCTCGTCCAGTCCAACTACAACTACGTGAACTGGTGGTCTGCGGCCCAAAGCGTCACCATCGTTCTCTCCGGGGTGCTTCAGCTCTACTTCCTGAAGCGCCTCTTCACCACCCAGCCCACCAGCAAGCCGCGCTGCTGAGGCACCGCAAAACCGCCATGCCTCGACCCGGCCTCCGAGCCGGCTCAAGAAAAGCCAGGAGTGTGTTGCTCGGGGGGGTGGGGGCTGCCTGAACAAAGCTCACATCACCACCGGGAGGGAAAGGGCCAGCTTCACCAGCCGGTCGCAGCCGTTGAGTTGGAATAAAACTGGCTTGGACCAACAATGAGCGTGCTGGGTCCCTTCTGCTGCACTGGGGAGTGTGTGTGTCTGTCATCTTGGTGGCCTGGGAGTACAACTGCCCCTTGGTGTGTACACAAGCACAGCCTTTTCTGGCCAGCCCCCCCGATCACACCACACATGAGACCATCAAGAGAATTAGCATCTTGCAGAAGAGTTTATAACTTCGGTCCTCAAAAATGGCAGGCCTGCAGCTGCACCACAGCATTCGTGCCGGCCAGTACGGCCTCTGAGGCTGTCAGTCCATCAGACGAGAGGCAGAGAGACGCTGCTGGCAGCTCCTCCACACTGCAAGCGGCCTGCACAGCTGGGCCGTTCGCTCTCTGTCCAAAACAGTCTCTTTAGTTTCCATCTGGGGTGAAGTCCTTGGGAGTTTTCTGTCCCTGTATTTAAGTCAGTGTCTCCTCGTGCCGAATATACTCCCCAATATCTGCTTGATGGAACACCACGATGGCCATGGGGTCCACCTTTCGGCACTCCTGGGTGGACTTGGCTGCCACTCCGAAGCCCTGAAGAAATCGAGCAGAGCAAGATGGGCATTAATATCTCTTTGGGTATGTTATCTTAAGCACACCCACGTTCGATGCACTCACTGGCCAGCACTCACCAACGGGACGTCCGCCATGGAATATACCACCACACCCTGGTACTGGGCAGTGTTCTCTGTGATGCGCCCAAGGCCGGATTTCAGTATGTGGTTCCCGTAAAGGAAGGACTGCTCTGCGCCGGGCTTCACCCACACTTTGTACTGTAAGAGAGAAACCAAAACGACATGCCAAACTGGTGAGGAGCAGTTTCCCGCGACAGCGAGATCCCCCCTTTTGATTGCCCTGAGTTGGTCTTTTCGCATCGCCTATACGGCTCAAGCCTTTCTATATTTTCTTTATGTTGGCACAGTCAAAGCAAGGCTTACTCTCCAGATCGCTGATTGGGAAGAATTGAAAGTACTGTTGGACATTCTGGTCAGCGCTTGCTTTTATCATTCTTCACTCACAAGGCCAAGTTTAGGTAAGCCAGCAGCTGTGATAGAAGCTGGCAGAAACACCTCCCCTCACACACTTAAGCCTCACAGGGTGGCAGAGGGTCAAAAGTATCTCTTAAAGTCGCCTAGGCAAACTTTACCTTGGCATAGGGGGCAAGATAATCCAGGGCAGTGACGTGGAGCCGGAACTTCTGAGTCTTGGTGAACTTTCCAAAGCAGGTGCCCAGTGAAACCAGATTCTCTCGAGGGATGTTTGTAGCAAGTTTCAAGATTCTCTCACTAAGAAACAGAAGGCAGAGATGGATCTTTGGGACCCCACTGCTCCAGAGCCAAAAGCTCTAATGTGCTGTTTCCACATCCAGCTTGTCTGGAAAGGAATCGCTGTGCATGTGTGTGCGCATGCACAAACATGTAAAAATCGGAAGATGCAGCCAGAGGGACTCTGCCCAAACCTGTCTCCGTGTGAACCGGCTTCCCACCTCCAAGCATGCACGGCCTCGATTCCGCTTTCAGATATAACGAAAAACATCAGATGAACTTCCCTAGAGCCAGACGCAAGAGCAAGGGCCCAGCACAACACGGCACCTTATCCCAGCCTCCGGAAACCTGGCTCCCTTCCTGCCCGCTGGAGACAACCGCCATCAGCCAGGCCTGCGAATTCGCGGGCCTCGCACCCACACGCGGGGCTGCCCTCCCCACCTGAGGTAATAGACTCGGTCCCGGTGCAGGCGGAAGCAGTAGGCCCCATCCGGCCGGTCGACGAGGAGCTGGATGTTCTCGCCGATGCTGCGGAGAGTGAGAGCACAGCAACGGCCTCAGAGGGAGCCGCGGGCCCGCGCCGCCCGCCGCCCGCCCCCCTCCTCGCCCGCGAGAGCGGGACGGCGGCGCCCGGCCGCCCGCCCCCCGGGCCGCCGCTGCAGAAAGCGCCGCTCCCGCCCGCGGGCTCGCCGCCAGCGCAGGGGCGCGGGGGGTGCCCCGATCCGGCCCGCGGGAGCGGGGCAGGGGCGGCCGCCGCTTACTATCGGGCCAGCTTCTCGAACAGCGCGCGCGTCTCCTCCTCCGTGAGCGGCCGCATCGCGCAGAGCCAGAGGGGCCGCGTGCTCGGCCAGGCGCGTTGCCGGAAGCGGAAATGGCGCGCCGCGCCCCTGCTTCCGGCCCGCCGCCGAGGCGACGCTCTCTCCCGCTCCTCCACTCTTCCCACTGGCAAGCCTCGGGCAACGAGGGCCACTCAGGGTAGAGCGTCGCCGCCGAGTCGGCGCCTAGAGCGGCCCGCCGGTTGCCATAGCGATCACTTCCTCGTCCACGTCGAGGCCCGATGGCGGCCTGGCAGGAACCGGCCCCGGCGGGCCCCGGCGGGGCGGACCTGGAGGAGGCGAGCCTCCTGGCCTGGCTCTTCCGCGGGGCGCCCTCGGCGCTGCCGGCGGCGGACGCGGCGGCGCTGCCGGCCTACCTGGCGGCGCTGTCGGGGCTGGGCCTGGAGGCGCTGCAGCGGGAGCCCGGGCGGCTGGCCGAGGAGCGCGCGCAGCTGGGGGCGCAGACGCGGGCCCTGGCCTTCGCCCACTACAAGACCTTCATCCGCTCGGCCGAGTGCACGGCGGAGACGCGCCGGGGCTTCAGCGGCATCGAGCAGGGCCTCGACCGCCTCCTGGGCCGCCTCCCGCCCTTCGCCGAGACCTGCCGGTGAGCGCGCCGGAGGAGCCGGGCGCGGGGTCCGGCCGCCTTGCCTCGCTCACCGCTCCCTGTGCCTTTCCCCGCAGGAACTTCATGCGCGATGCCGAGCAGATCGCCCAGAGCCGCCGCATGAACAACCTGACCCTGAACCGCCACACGGAGATCCTGGAAGTCCTGGAGATCCCCCAGCTGATGGACACCTGTGTCCGGAACAGCTACTACGAGGAGGCCCTGGAGCTTGTGGCCTACGTCCGCCGCCTGGAGAAAAAACATGCCACCATTCCGGTCATCCAGGTGCGGCTGTGCCCCAGGCTCGCTGCCTGTTTCCAGAGCTTCCCTGCTGTCCAGGAGGCTGGCCAAAAGATTGCCAAGGCAGGCAATCACGGGGAAGCCCGCAGTGCCTTGCACTTCCTCTGGCTGCCGTGCCTCATGCAGCGGAGCCGGGTAGCTTCCGGGCTGCCCACTGCCCCACAGCAGCCATCACTGTAAGAGCTTTGATTGTTTTCAGTGGCAAGGGAACGTCCGCATGTGTCCCTCTTGTCTTCCCAGGGCATAGTGGCAGAGGTGCGCCAGTCCACGCAGCTCATGCTCACCCAGCTGATCCAGCAGCTGCGCACCAACATCCAGCTGCCAGCCTGCCTGCGCGCCATCGGCTACTTGCGCTGCATGGACGTCTTCACCGAGGCCGAGCTGCGCATCACCTTTCTGCAGGCACGAGACCTCTGGCTGCGCTCCATCCTGGCCGCCATCCCCGAGGAAGACCCCTACGTGCACATCACCAAGACCATCGAGGCCTGTCGCGTGCACCTCTTCGACATCATCACGCAGTATCGCGCCATCTTTGCGGACGAGGAGCCGCTGGTGCCCCCGCCTGGGCAGGACGCCCTCAACGAAAGCGCCCTCTTCCACGGGTGGGTGCTGCAGAAGGTCTCGCAGTTCCTGCTCGTGCTGGAGCGCGACCTGCAGCGCGGCGTGGGCGGCCGCCTGGACTCCCTGCTGGGCCAGTGCATGTACTTTGGCCTTTCCTTCAGCCGTGTGGGGGCGGACTTCCGGGGCCAGCTGGCCCCGCTCTTCCAGCGAGTGGCACTGCTCACCTTCAAGAAGGCCCTGCAGGAGGCGGTGGGCAAATTCCAGGAGGAGATGAACTCGTACACGCTGCTCTCCGCCCCGGCGGTCCTGGGCAGCACGATCCCAGCGACTGTGTCCTCGGCCCAGCCGGGCACACTGCAGCCCCCCATGGTGCTCCTGGACTTCCCGCCACTTGCCTGCTTCCTCAACAGCGTCCTGGCAGCCTTCAATGACTTGCGCCTCTGCTGCCCTGTGGCTCTCGCGCCAGAGGTGGCCGCCGCCCTGGAGGAGGCACTTGTTCAGGTGGGGGGGGCTCTTCCTCTTTGTGGCGGGTAGCCCAAATGGAGAAAGGCACTCCGGGATCTGCTTGGCGGGACAGGAATTGTGGGGCACAGCAGGTGCCAGTGCAGGATCCTTAGCCAAGGCACCTGGCCTTTCCCAGCCCTTTGGCACCATGCCCTGGACAGCCTCGCCTTTTCCTCCCTGGCCCTCCCCTCCCCTCCCCTGCAGCGCTTGGCCCAGGCTGATTAGCTGGGCTTCTGGGTCAGGCCGTGGCTTCCCTAGCGGGAGCTGCAGCCCCCATCCTGCGCTGAATACGCAGGCCAGGATTCCCGTCTCTCTCCGCTTTGCAGGTGACAAAGATTATCCTGGCCTTCCACCGAGCGGAGGCCTTGGCATTCAGCAGCCGGGAACAGGAGCTGTTTGTTCACTTCTGCACAGCATTTCTGGAAGATCTGGTGCCCTACCTCAACCGCTGCCTCCCGCTCCTCTTCCCGGTCGCCCAAATTGCACAGACTCTGGGTAGGGATCCCTCTGTTTCCTTGGTGGGAGGGGTTGGAATGCAGGCTTGGAAATGGAGGCGAAGCCTCTGGGGGCCCAGTTCCATTCCTGCTGGTGGCTCTGCCAGCCGCCCGTGGGGGAAGGTCCTCCTCCGCTCCAGTCCTGCCCACGTGCCTTCTGCTGCCCCCACACCTGGTACGGCATGCTGGCTTCTCACGTTGCCTCTTCTGTCTCTCTGCTAGGTGTCCCCCCTGCTCAGCTCCACAAGTACGGGAGGCTTGGCGGTGTGGATGAAGGCATGATCCAGGAACTCTTTGCCGCAGTCCTGCCTGAGAAAGAGGCCGGTTTCCCTGCGGCTGAGGAGAAGGAGCCGGCCCAGGAGAGCCCGACAGTTGAACTGGGCTTGGTGCTTCCTGAGCTGCAGCAGGAGGCAGCGCCCAGTGTCGCGCCCACTTCTGAGGCAGAGGAGAGCACCGACCGGCCGCCGCTCAGCACACCGCCAGGCGCAGACTAGCTCTCGGTGGACGCGGCTCTCCTGGAGCAGCTGCTCCTTGGCCAGCCGGCTGGCGGAGGAGGAGGAGGACTCGCGCGTGCTTGCTGCTGGCGTGGGCAGGAGCAGCTCTTGGCCCCTCGCGGCCCCACACCTGGCGCCCGCAAGGGCAGGGTGCAAGGGCTCCCTTGTTCTGGTGGGAAGAAGGGCAGCTGGGGAGGGACGGGGGCAAGGCAGCCCAGGGCCTAAATAAACACACCTGTTTTGGCTTGGCTCTTTGTACTTCATTGTTGTGAGCCGCCCCGAGGCTTCGGCGAATGGGGCGGCATAGAAATGTTTTAATAAATAAATAAATAAATAAATAAATTGTGTGATGCCCCCCTTTCCCCTCCCGCCCCCCCCCCGTGTCGCGTGGCCTCAGCCAGGGCGGAGGGGGCGGGTGTGCGGGCACAGGGCTTTTTCCCGGGCCTCCGCCTGGCGGGACCCAAGCAGGTGCCCTTCTGGCGGCGCCCGGGAGGGCGGTGGCCCCGGCGGGCAGCGCCCCGGGGGGTGCGGGGCCGGCAGGCAGGATGGCGGGGCAGCGGGGGTCCCGCCGTCGCTCGGTTTGCCGCCGCCCGCTTAGGGAAGGCGCGAGCGGGAAAGCGGGCGCCGCGATGAGGCCCCGCCGCGCTTTGACGCGTGCGCCGTTTCCGCCCGCCTGGCCGCGCGGGGGCCCCGGGCGCCGCTCGCGCGGCCCCGCGGGCGGCGGCCCAGGAGCCGGCG